CAGATGGAACTTATACACAACGTGTAGAGTCATGTATCAATCGATTAAAGTTGGGTATTAAGGCGATGAAGGGTCTCACGTTGGAACAGAGAAAATTATTTTTGCTAGAATTTATATTTAAAGAACGTCTTTCGTCAGATAAATTTATATCTTACATTAAATTATTTGAATGTTAATCTTTTTTTATGGGGTGTATAACCGACCTGATCCAAAACTTCTTTTATAATTAGTGTTGACCAATTGCACACACCATCATGATATTTTAGCTATTTTCCAAATATGCACTGTCACAGGCCATAGCGGGCGTGAATTTTATTAATAAAAATTTTATAATATATCTATGCCAGGTTTAAATACTCCTATTAATTTATAAAGTTTTATAGTGGCAGCAGGCGCCGCGGGAGCTTTTTTTACTAAGCAAAACCGACACCTTTGGGATTCGTACCATAAACAAGAAAAAAACCCTCAATAGTTTAAGTGAGGTTGACTTGGTTCAAAAATCTCCTGGTAATTTTTAACCTTTAATATGAAAAAAAATTGTCAAAAAACGTTATGTAAAGCAATAAAAGTGGAGAAAAAATTGCTTTTGATGTTTATTTTACAATTTCAAAGAGCACAGTATTGGTAAGCCTGTTTGGAGATGAAATAAGAGGGGATGTAAATCTTACCTTAAAACATTTTTAATTTTAGATTTAGAAGAACTTACAGACCATAATCATCACAAAGATGATGAAATTTTTTTCGTTTTATTCTTAAGGCAGGAATTAAAAATGGAGCATTGAGTACTTCAGAACCATCGCGAGAAGTTTTATCAAATGTAGTTGCGTCGTCGTGGCAAATGGCGTCATTTAATCCAAAAAGCATGAATACGTATGTTAATATGCTTAGACGAAAAATAATTACACCTTTAATATTAACTATGATATTCTAATTGAATTGGCAGTTACAAAAAAAGATAAGGAGTTTTTGTTCTTTGATTCTGGTATAGAAGATGCTAACAAAATAGTAGTGTTTACAAAATAGGAGAATTTAGAACATTTTATAAATTGTAAAACTGTGATCTGTGACGGAACTTTTAAGTCTTCACCGTCAAATTTTGAACAACTTTTTACTTTGCAATGTAAATATGT